CAGAGAATACACAGGCCCCGAGAAAAAGGCAAATGAGACGTGGGAATTACTTCCGATGCTGCGGCTGGGACTGCAGAGCTCGGGAGCTCCCACCCCGGCTGCGATGGGGAATCCATCAGAAGGAGAAATGGGGTAACAGCTTACAAGGGAAATAAGGAGCGGAGGAGACGGGGAATATTTATATGCCCATCTCCTCTCTCCGAGAGAAGACGCTTCATCACAGGTGGGCTGCAAAATTACATTTTCCGTGGCTTCCGAACAGAGAACCTTTGTTCAGGCAGCAGGGAGGATGGTAAGGGCCTCGGTGTGACAAGAGCCCCACAGGGCCACTCACTACCCTCCTGCAGAGCCAAAGTGGAAGCCGTCCCATCCCACGGAGAGGGGAGACTGAGGCTGGGGACAGGGCAGGACAGTGCCAGAAAACCTTCTCATGGCTGCCCCATGGCTGCAATGGTCACCTCTGCGGCTGAGGGAGGTGCCCGAAAATTCACTTTCTCACGCCTCCGACTGACTGATACACCACCCTGGAGGATGGCAAGGGCCCTGCTCTGAGCGGGGTTGGGCATGGGTGGCAGGAGGCCGGAGGCCACCAAAGCTGGCTTGGGTAGAAGGCTGCTGCCAAGCTGTCTTTGCAGCCTGTGAGGAAGGGCGGTGGAGCTGGAGCCCCTGTAATGTCGGCCCCTGCACGGCAGATCCCAACTGGGAGGGGCTGCATCTTCCCAGCGACTCCGGGAAGTCTGCCGAGGGAGTGCATACTGATTTCACTTTAATATACACCCTTCCTGCGGGGCCTTCTGTGACACCTAGTGCTGCAAACAGTGCCTGGGGACACCCCGTGGCATGGTGCAGAGTCGTCCGAGCAGTGCTGGGCGGTTGGAGGTGCGTGCCTGCTCTGTGTGCGCCTGGGCGGGAGTCAGGCCTCTGCCACAACAGGAGGTGGGCAGGGGTGTGCCCAGGGTCAAACCTTCGAGGAGGCCCAGTACCCTAGACTGGGACCAGACTGGGACATGCCCTCTCCAGAACAGCGTGTCGCTGCCACTGTGCACACAGCCCACACTGTCCCTGCAGACACCCAGATCCTGGGCTGACGTGCCGCCGTGGGCTCCCGGAGCACCCACCCCTGCTCCCTGACCTCCAGTTTCCCCTCCAGCTTGCCAGGCTCTGGGGTCTGGCAGTGCACTGGCCACCCACAGCCAGGGGACCCTGTCCCGATCCATCAACTCCTCAGTGCCAGCTCCTGGGTCAGGTAGGTTAGGGTCTGCCGGGGTCCTGGCTATGGCGCAGACCCAGGGGCAGCTCTCCCTGGCTGGTTCTGGTGTGTGTCCTTGGTGGCTGGAGTTTATCTGAGGCCCCTGCTCCTGTCCCTAACCACCACACTCAAAGCGATCAGGACCGCGGGGCTCGCACAGGGTGCACTGTCCCTAAGGCCAAATGGTGGCAAAGGTTTAAAACTCCCACCAGGCGCACGTGCGTGTATGCCCAAAATCCCAAGGGGAGAATGGAGGAAAAGGGATTGTGGCATGGTCATCCCCCATGGGGGGTGATTTTTCCATTCCATCTCTCTGTTTCTCTAGTGAGCACACACACCCTATAGCAAAAATCTCTCTCTAAAAACATGTAAAAATAAACCTGGCAGGATGGCACACTGGCCCTCATTCTGGAGGGACACGCTACCTTCAGGGGCATACATTTCCGCAGAGATGCTGAGGCCACCCTTCAATGGATGGAGACTGCTGTCTGCTCAGCCAAGGTCACGCTCGGCCTCTTCTCAGCCCTGAGACATTACAAGTGACAGCCATCACTGCTGTGGATCCTGGCAGGTCACTTTCCAAGTCCAGGTCTCTCTTGTTAACTGGGTGGGGACTGCCTTCTTCCACAGGGTGTGTGGGGGAGACAGACGGGCAGTGCTTGCCCTGCGCGAGGTGGCGTCTTGGCAGGTGCCGGGCCCTCCCTGCCTCAGCACCGGGTGGGACCCCAGTGGCACTCAGGGTGGCAGGGAGGCTTGTAGCCACCCTCTGGGCCCCTGACCCAAAGGTTTACAGAGAGCAAAGCAATATCCAAGACCAGCCCAGCTCTGTGTCAGGCCCTACCCAGGGCGGGTGGACTGGGACTGGAAAGGGCAGCAGCCTACTCCAGCCACACACGGGAGCCTCCGAGCACAGACCCGGGGCCACGGCACAGCTCTGCCTTGGGTCCCCCATGGGTGACGCTGAGTTCTGTGGCCAGAGGAGCAACTTGAGGTCTCTGGAGAAGAGGCTCTGACACTGCTGCCGAAGGGTCCTCGCCCGAGAGTGCAGGTGGCCATGCACTGGTGGCACGAGATGTGCTCGGGTGCCATGCCAGGACTCCTCGGTCTCAGCTCCTGAGACACTCCTGCGCACGCCTTCTTGGCCTGCTTCGGTTTTACACCCGTCAGCCATTCCATCGCTCCCCATCCCCCAGGTCGATGTTAACCTACCTCAACAGACAACCTCCGCCACGAACAGAAAACAAAGGTGGGCTCTGTCGCCTGGGGTGGTGGTCCTTGGCCACCAGCAACAGAGCTGCGAGATGCCAATGGGTCTGAGCTGCCTGACCGCAGCCCGGACCTGCAGACAGGAGGAGGGCAACGGTGAGTGTGGACACGGTGACGCGGCCACGAGGGACGGAGCAGGAACGGTGCAGGCACTGGCTAAGCCATTTACAGGACATTCTGGGTTCCACCCCATCAATACTACGGGAAAGCATTTCACTAGTCTCCTGGTTTTTCAGAAAGGGAAACGGAGGCTCCAAGAGGTTGAAGGAAGGGCTGAGCTCCAAGCCCCGGTGGCCGACGCCAGGGCTCGCTTCCCCATCCAGGCTGTGTGCCTCTCAGGGCAGCCATTCCTGGACCCAGGGCCCTGATGTCAGGACACACGTCCTGGTGAGATGCATGGTAGGGCAGATTTTAACCTCGGAGTCGGGAAGGGAGGTAAGGATTACGGACTTCTGGCCACACGCCCGGCCTACCCTGGGGCCCTCCCCTTCTTCGCCCCATCTAGGTAACTCAAAGGCCCACCCTGGGTCAGAACCAAGATCAAGAGGCCGCTTGAGCCCCATGGTCCCCACCAGCCCAGGGCAGAGCACCTCTGGGTGGAACATGGACCACCGATGATCTGTCATTGTGGAAAGTGTTTGCAGGATGACACACTGGGCCTCGATCTTGTCTTGGGCGAGTTTCTTCACCTCTCAGAGTCTGTTTCTGTCCCATGAAGAGGGGAGGACTGAGGACCATGAGGTATGGTTGAGAACTAGTGATGACGGATGCAAAGCCTGAGCCCAGAGCTGAGCCCTTGGCCGGAGCTTGAATAAGTAAATGGTGCTACTTTGACAGCCCCAGGTGAGCCAGCCAGGTGGAGGGGAGGAAGCTCGACCTCCCATGGCCGCCCCTTCCTCTGGCGCCCTGACCCGCCGCAATGGAGAGCCTGCGGCCTGCACCAGGCCTTCATTCAGCATCCACAGAACACGGAGACATCCTACTGTCATCCCCGTTAAGTGGAGGGGTGTGGCCTGTGCCTTGTCAGCGGAGCTGGGCTGCTGCAGATGTCTGTCTGTCTGTCTGTAATGGTTCCAAGCCTGCCTTATTTACCACCTGCAGTCAGAGAAGGCCACCCTCAAAGGCCTTCCATGTGCACGCCAGGACCCCGCCAGTGTAGGGCCCCACACATAGGTCGCATTTGAAGCAGGTGGCCCTCTGAACCCTCCACAGCGACCTTGGTTCTGAGAAGGGCAGACGTGAAATCCCATGTGCACCTGCATTTCTAGTAGTAGCGAGGCATTTCCCAAGTTACAAGAGCAAACACAGAAGCCCAAACAACTATAGATGACAGGTTGGTTTTTATGATTTACTGAAAACCAAAGACAAAGGGGGCCTTTTTGTCTTGTTTTTGTTATGACAGGCTTAGAGATGTGTTGTACTACATCGATCCAATTTGCCTGGATTCCAGCCTCCTTTCAATAACGCTAACTGCTTCTGCTAGCTAGGTACACAGAGAAAACCCAAAGGAACCGAGAATATTGAAATGGTTCTACCATTTCCATCTTTGAGACAAACGGTCCCCTCAGAGGAGAGCTGGCTGCCTGCACGTGACTCTGTAACCACTTCCCAGACATCGAGGGACACAGGCCCCAGCGCTGTCTCTGGGAAGCGGTAGAGCGCCGCTGGCCTGCCTGCCGCCTCGGGTCCATAACCCCAGCCCTCTTCCCACAGAGCTCTCTTCTCTACTCGATCTTGGATTCCTTCCTCCCTTCCTTTCTTCCTTCTTTCCTTTCTCATTTTAAAAAATTGCTAATGGTGCGTGTGCTTGTGGAGATAGGGCCATGGGGTGGAGGAGGACAGGAGTGAGAAATCACCCTCAGAGGGGGATGGCCATGCCGCAATCCCTTCTCCTCCATTCCCCTCTCGGGATCTGCAGCACACGCTTATATGTGCCTGGTGTGATTTTCAAGCCGCCGGGTCCAGGACTCGAATCACACAATCAACCATGTGGGATCCAGCCACCTTAACCTCGGTGCCACCTGCTACGCCCCCTCATTTTAATTAGGAAAATGTCCACACTATTTTAAACCAGGCTGACAACTGGTCTAGCTTATTAAGCACAGCAGAATATGGACCGATGCTTTCTCGAAACCATGACGCACCTAGTGGTTTCCCCAAACCCTTTGTGGTGGGAATAAAAGAGGGGGAGAATGAGAGCCACCCCCACACCCAGCCCCCAGCTCCACCTTCTGAAAGCTGAGACGTTTTTTAAAAATGAGCAGAACTGATCGTTCCACTTGTCACCTAAAACCTTGGTACTCAGAAAAGACAAGATGTTGGCCATTGTTTGACTGGAAGTAATAAAACATTACAAGTGTACTCCTTTTTCTAAGAAGCAAATTTGAGCAAAATGTACCCTCCTAGACAGCTCCCTAGGGAGAAGAGACTCTGGGGAGCAGGGGTAGCCCAGGCCCACCGGCGCGACCCCAGGCAGCTCACTTACCTCCTTTTCAATTTCTGCCAGAGATTTGATGGTGATTCCCAAGAGATCGAAGGGCTGCATCTGGAAATAGAGATCAAGTCACCTTAAAACACCGGAAAACATGCCTTCACATTGGCTGTGCATGACGTTTGTGAAATCTCAAACCAGGGCAGGTGGTCACATATCCCCACCCCCTTCCCTCTAGAATATTCAGAACTGCTGGCGTGACTCTCTGGTCGTCAGTCAGGTAACAAGGAACAGGCTTCAGGGAAACGTGCCGTCATGGGGTTGGTCCCTGGTGCTGCGTGACTGTGCTTGGTCACACGTCTGAAACACCCAGGAGGGTCATGGGCCTTTCTGGAAGACCGTGATCATGGCTGGTTATCGGCCCTCTTCTCCCTCGGCCAAAGGACAACATGGACAGGGTCTGCTTTTGCTTTGGGCAGTTGTGGGGTCGGAGGTGCCCAAGGCTGTCACCAGGGGCCATGCTGACCACTGCATCTATATGATGATGGTGGGTCTGAGCTGGGGAGACTTCTGGGCCTTCGAAAACGGAAAATGAAACAACCTTCTATTATTAACCATTTCACAAAGCAAAGGTGGTGAAAAATGCGAAGGGTGCATTTCAGTGGGGGCTTCTGTAACTTCACTGAGATGGGACCTTCATTGAAAGTGCTGGCTTTTCAACATGAAAATGGCATGAAAAACCAAACATGCATGGGTCTAAGCGGGAGCTGGAGGCCCAGGAAGCCCATGCTGGAGTGCAGTGGGTGCAGGGCACTCTGCCTGGAAGGCCCCCAGTCCAGGTCACCTCTGGGCACACTGGTGCTCTGTATTCCTAAGATAGGTACGTGACCGCCTCCTGGAGCCCAGGTGGGTAGTTGGCAGCCTGGGTCGAACAGGTAGAGCCTGAGGGTCTTCAACAGAACCTTGGGCCACGGGGTTTTGAACCTCGCCGAGCAGCCCAGCTGTAGAAATGGAGTCACGGAGCAGCCAGGACTTCCTGGTAGAAATAGGCTGCTCTAGAATCCAAAGGACCCAGATCAAAACAGCCCAGCGTCCCTTTGGGATGCAGCTGCAGTTAAACCACTTCGTCACTTCCCGGCCTGTTAAAGGCAGCGGTGAGCCGTCTTGGCCAGGCGGTCGGGGGGACTAAAAGGGAGACACCCTGGGTGCAGGGTTTGGCTGTGGTCTTGAGTGCTTGCTGAGTTGGCAGTGCCCAGCAGCGACACGCTCTGAGGACAATATTGCGACAGGGCTGTCGAGGGAGCCGCTCTTCTCCCAGGGCTGCTCTGTCAGTCTGGCCTGCCCTTGCTGCCCGGGTCGGCAGAGGTCCAGCTGCTGTATCAGTAGGCTCTAACTATCCCACTAAACTTTCCCAATTGGAGCTGGGAAGCAGGACAGAGCAGCTTCTCCCAGGGACCTCGGGAGAGGTGCCAGTGTCTCCATGGCAACGCAGCCAAGTGGAGCCGGCTGAAGTTACTCGAGCTCCGATGTCACGTCATGAGCATTTTTCAAGATTAAGCTGCTTACCGGGAGGGTTCAGAGGAGGCCTATTATATTTCATGGAAATGGAAACTACAGAGCAGGTCAAATCGCGAGCCGGGTGGTTTTAAGCTGGGTCCAAGAAAAACACTGAAGGATTCTTTCACTGGTGCCCAAACAGGGGCCTTCACGGTTGTGTGCTAGCTCCTCAGAGCAAACTCTGCAGAAAGGATGTGAACCAGGCTGAGTTCCTGAGCTCGCGTGGACTAGGCCTGCACAGCAGAGGGAGACCCGCTGCAATCTGGGGCAGGCATCATCTCAGAGGACCCCAGGAGCCCTGGAGGGGGGGGGGCACTCCAGCTGTCAGCCCGGCCGGTGTACTCAGCCCCTCTGCCACTACAGATGGCTCAGGGCTCAGTCGGGCATGCCCGTGTATATGGCCTGGTGTGGGCGGGAGCCCCCAGCTACGAGGCATGTGGCACTTGCACAGAGACCTCCCAGTCAGAGAGGGGCACACAGTTTGCACAGGATGCAGGAACTGCTGCAGAAAGAGGCAGCCTCCTCTCTGCAGGAAAATTATCATTAAGTAAAAGCGAACAAAATGACTAAGCTGAACTTGGGAAACAGAGGCCATTCCCAACTGGTGCAGCTGGCTCATTTGCCGTCCCACTGGTGCATGTGAGCTGGTCTGTTTGTCTGTCTCTTCTTCCATCCTTCACCTGTTCTTTCTTTTACCTCTCAAGTGCCTATCATGTGCAGGCACTAGGTGATGGGCCGGGGGATGAGCACGACCCGGCTGGCTCTTGGGAAGTCACTGCCATCAGGGTGCAGGGCTCAGCATCCAGTGGGAGAGGGAAAGGCTGGCAGAAGTGATTCCCACGGGGCAGGGAGTGTGGTGGCTATTGGAGAAGCCCTAACTAGCAGCAAAATCAAGATGGCAGGGCAGGGCAGGGGGAACTGAAGGGCGGGGCAGTTGTGCATAGAACTTACACTTTCTGGAACACAGGAAAACTTCTCTGAAATCATGAAAGGCACACCATCCATTGCTGCGAAAGAAGAAAGAAAGATAATGGCTTGAAGACACAAGTGATGAGTAACGTAAGACAACAACACAGACAGTACGAGAAAGTGACTGTCTCGCCAGGTCAGGCCCGGCATGGGTGAGTGGAAGCTATGGGGATACAACAGGTGCCGTCCTGTTCCCGAGAAACACACCTGACGAGGGAGGCAGATGCTTCGGTGTCTCCTGATCACCAGATGTGAGGGCAAGAGTCTGGGGAAAGAGACGGGCTGGTCTAGAACCCCTCACTCCTAAGCCTGGCTGCCTATCTGTCCATGGCGGAAGCCACCAAGGGGCTGACAGCAGGACAAGTTGTTCCAGAGCTGGGAGGGGACAGCAAAGCTCCATGGGGTGGGCAGTAAGTATGATGTGCTTAGACATTTTCCAAGCTGACACGAGTGTCCTACTGCAGCTGTCAGCCCCATGGGAAAGGTGTAAGTTGGAGGAAAGCAGTTGTGGAGTCAGCCTGCCTGGGTTAAATTCCAACTGTCTGTGTCTTTAGAGAAACAAGCCAAGTTACATTTAAAAGGACGACAGGCCCAACCAAGTGGTGTGGTCTGTAGTGTACAGGACTGCAGTGCTGGAAGCCACACAGCCAGTCATGAGCTTAGATCCCTGGGTTTAAAGACATGCCTAGTGCATGGGTGGGTGCCCAAAAGTCACATGGAGTTAAAAGATTGGGGAAAGGGGATCTTTTATTTATTTATTTCAAGAAAAGGAAGGTACTACCTATGTGACAGGAATGCTTTTGAGTTAAAGTACAGCATGGAGGCCACAGTGGTCACTTGGAGGGCTGCGCGGTCACCATGGCTGGCTCTTGGTCACTCAGGCCCACTTCTGCGAGATGGACTTGGGGCTCATCAACCTGCTCGGTATGAGTAGGACCCAGGACAAAGGCATGGAGTGGGTACACCGTGACAGTAACCAAAACCTGGGGCCCAGCTCTTTCTCCTTAGGCCCCAGCCACCCACCCTGTCCCAGGTCACTATTGTCAAAGACACCTGAAGCAAAGCCGGGTATGTGTTTCCACGTGCATGCTCACTCTCAATAATGCCTTGAGAGAGGAGAGCTCTGAGTCACATCAGTGCTGGAAGTTTGCTGCATGTAACAGGTCACGTGTGACAGATGTGACGGCGGGCATTCCTGGTGTGCATCTCACCTGCATAAATGCAGGCTGCCCTGCTAGGTCTGAGCAGGTCACGGATAAGCAAAGCCTGGGCTCATCACGTGGGCTGTACCAGGCCCTGGCCCAGCAGGGCACCGGGGTGTTTCTGTGCTCCACTGTGGTTTCAGGAAGAAATGGAGTGAGTGGACGTGGAGCCGGGAGCTGTGGCGAGTGGCTCCCTGGGAAATGACATGCTTAGCTCCCCCCACTGTCTTCTGCAATCAGAACTGCTCTGGTATCTAAGTGGGGACAACAACTTTCAGTCCTAAGAAAGAAAAGCATCAGAAGCAGGAAGTTAAAAAGCAGGGGGAAAGGAAACAGAAGAAGGGGAAGACCCCAGGGATGAAGCCTCCCTGCCTGGCGAGAGGGGCCACGTGGCTCAGTTCCAACTTCACTCATCGTTTGTGCTAAGATGAAACGAAACTGTCTCCAGGAAGCTCGAAGAACGAAGAGCCAGCTGGCTGGCTGCTGCCCCAGAAACCTCTCTGTCTCTTTGGGAGGCCACTGTCCAAGGCGTGGCCTCGGGCTTTGACAGAGACATCTACACCAGAGACTGCTCCTGTCACAGGTGACTCTGCACCCTGCCGGGAAGTGCCAGAAAAGGTGCCAAGGGCAGGAGCAGTGTGCCACTCACCATAAAAGAAAGGGGTGACAGCCGCCTCTACACAATATATCCATATGCCACAGATACCTGGGAACCTCTACACGTGTGCTAATGGACACCCAGAGGGCCGAGCACTGAGTCTAGGGTTTTCGAAAAGTCTTAAAACCTCCTGGAGAGGAACAGAACCAAGTCCACCAACATCCAGGGAGAGACTATGCTGGCTTCTGCCACCAACTGCCCAATGCAGGCCTGAGCCTGCGCTCACCCCATATGGGATCATGACCTCCTGATTTCCCAGCCCAGCCTGGAATGGCTGAGACAGCTGGGCACACAGCACTAGATAAATCTGACAGATTTAAGATCAGAAGCAGTGGCTCCAGGAGTCAGGGCGTGCGAGCAGGAAGAGGTGACCCAGGCTTAGATGGACACCCTACCTGACCTCTTGAATGGACTCCTAATCCCTCTGCTTTCACCTGTCACCGTTGGTGCTGCTCTGCACATGCTTTTGCACACCCATACACCTGTGCCATGGCTTCTCTTGCTCACTAGACAGAGGGCACTCGGGTGCTTGGAAGTCCTGACTCCCACAGAAAAGGACACACACCAGGCTGTTCTCCAGTTTGTCAGCCCGTTGCAGCACGCCAAAGCCCCTCTCGAAATACACACACTGAGAGACCTGATGCTCATCACTCTCCAAGAGACCCCTCTCCTCATCACTCTCCGGGAGTACCCGCTCCTTATCACTCTCCTGAGAACTGGTTCATCACTCTCCTGAGAACCCTCTCCTCCTCATCACTCTCTGGGAGAACCCACTTCTCATCACTCTCCTGAGAACCCTCTCATCATCCCTCTCCTGAGAACCAGCTCCTCATTACTCTCCTGAGAACCCTCTCCTCATCATTCTCCTGAGAACCCGCTCCTCATCCCTCTTCAGGAGAACCCACTCCTCATCCCTCTCCTGAGAACCCATTCCTCATCACTCTCCTGAGAACTCTCTCTTCATCACTCTCCTGAGAACTCTCTTCTCATTACTCTCCTGAGAATCCACTCCTCATCACTCTGGGAGAACCCACTCTTCATCACTCTCCTGAGAACTGGCTCCTCAGCACTCTCCTGAAAACCCTCCTCATCATTCTGGGAGAACCTGCTCCTCATCACTCTCCTGAGAACCTGATCCTCATCACCATCACTCTCCTGAGAACCCTCTCCTCATCACTCTCCTCAGAACCCACTCCTCATCATTCTCCTGAGAACCTGCTCATCACTCTTCAGGAGAACCCACTCCTCGTCACTCTCTTGAGAACCCACTCCTCATCATTCTCCTGAGAACCTGCTCATCACTCTTCAGGAGAACCCACTCCTCATCACTCTCTCGAAAACCGGATCCTCATCACTCTCCTCAGAACCCTCGCCTCATCACTCTCCTGAGAATCCATCCTCATCACTCTCCTCAGAACCCACTCCTCATCATTCTCCTGAGAACCCATTCCTCATCACTCTTCAGGAGAACCCACTCCTCGTCACTCTCCTGAGAACCTGCACCTCATCACTCTTCAGGAGAACCCACTCTTCATTACTCTCCTAAGAACCCTCTCCTCATCACTCTCCTCAGAACCCGCTCATCACTCTGGGAGAATGTACTCTTCATCACTCTCCTGAGAACCCTCTCCTCATCACTCTCCTGAGAACCCTCTCCTCATCACTCTCCTGAGAACCCTCTCCTCATCACTCTCCTGAGAACCCGCTCTTTATCACCCTCCTGAGAACCCGCTCCTCATCACTCTCCTGAGAACTCGCTCCTCATCACTCTGGAAGAACCCTCTCCTCATCACTCTACTGAGAACCTGCTCCTCACCACTCTGGGAAAACTTGCTACTCATCACTCTCTGGGAGAACCTGCTACTCGTAACTCTTTGGGAAAAAACCCTTTCCCCATCACCCTCTAGGAGAACTCACTGTTCATCACCCTCCCCTCATTACTCTCCAGGAGAACTTGCTCCTCATCACTCACTCAGTGTTGTAATGTACTGACTCAGCAGACCTGCTTCTCTCCCCTCACTCATTTTCACTTGAATATGTATTATGAAAAAATTATGCATAAATTCAGGAGAAAAAAATACCCTGTCAACCTGGGATACCTACCACAATAATATTTTTATGCATATAAATACAATGGGTCTTCTGAAAGTTTGTGGCAAATCTGTATTATGAAAAAAGTAAGGATGGATTTCAAAAATTTTTTGCACCAAACTAAACTTGTACTTTACTTCAATTTTTCCCATGAACTTTGGAAGTTCCCTCATGTATTTCATATAACATGAAAGTAAACTTTTACATAGCTAGGTAAATGTGTATAATATATATTTGATACATAACATACATTTACCCTATGTACGGACATGTGCGGACATGCATCCACTCGCACTATTACCAGTCACTCAGAGACTCAGGGAAGTGGGTGAGAGCATACAGTGGCACCACCCAGCATGGCCCTGATGGAGGCACGTCTTGCAAGCTCTGCCTCATCCTTCCCATCCAGAGGTGACATCCTCCTTCCCAGACCTTGCGGGAAGCTGCTGGGTCCATGGCCAGCTCCCCACATGAACACACTGGAGTGCCTGGTTCAGGCATACTTCTGGGCCTCAGGTAGGCAGGAGGTGACTCTTTCAAGAACCACCTATTGAGGCTGCAGAGAAGACGCCAAGTGATAGCATTGCAGGAACAGACCAGAGGCAGCCTGCTGGGAGAGAAGGCAAGGAGGACATTCCTGAAAACATCAAGGGAGCAAAAGGCAGCAGTGGAGGTGGCCTCCAGAACTCGGTGCTGGCCCAGTTCGACTCAGGACTGATGCCCTCCTGCCGGGCCAGTGGCAGACACAAGGGGGACCTCTGGGATCTAATTCTGACATCCAGCAAAGGGTGGAAATAGGAACCATATCAACTTATCTTAGAGTTCATGACACAATGACAGGCAGGGTCAGATGCCCCACACGTACTTCAGGAAAACAGATTTTAACAAACTCAGAGAAAAAAAACGCTGAGATGATTTCCAAGACCCCATGGCCTGGAGCTGCCTCAGAGGACCAGGACTCCCACAGCATCCTTCTCAACAGTACAGAGAGTCTCTGAACAAGATGCAAGTCACCAGGGGCCGAGAAGAGTTTGCTAAGCCATGATCTACCCATTGAATTGCATTTACATAAAAAAATCTAATACAG